AGGGGGCGGGGCTGGCTGGCATGTGGTGCTGGGGGATTGAACCGCGGTCCCTGTGCTTTGCTAAGCTTGTTCTAAGTAGGTGCTTTAGACCACTGAGTCATCTCACCAGCCCCTCCAGGAATTTCTTGAGACTAATTTAGAAAGTACTCATTGTATAACAAAAGATTGATATATTTGATCATATAAAAATAAAGTAGGGCTATAAAAACTCCTTGAATAAAGTGAAATAACATGATAGACTATTATAGGATATTTACTTTATACATAATGCTGCATGTTACTGCCCAGTATAAGGGAGAATTTCTTATAAGTAAAAACTTAAAAGTGAACCCATAGAATAACTCTGGAGTTTGATAGGGTTGAGTGATGGCTAGTTCATCTTAGAAGAAATACAGTGACAGATACATAAAATGATATTCATCCTCATAAGCAATTAGAAAAATATGTATCAGTATGCATCTAGCATTTCTTTTTTTTTAAGTGAATAGAAAATAGTAAAAAAAAAAAAGAATTGATACAGAATTTCACTAAAGAAAATGATGTAAATTCAACAGTGATTGTTATGTTGCATATTGTTGTGTTCAGATTAGTTGTTCAAATTACCAGATATAAGCAGGCAAAATTGGTCAAAAGTTAAAAAGAAAAAAAAAATGTATTAACTGTTCCTTCTAGACCAGTAGAAATCAGCAGTTCAGTTATCCAAGCTATCCTACATATATATGTACATATTTTTCCCTACCTTCTTTCTTTTCTCCTTTTCCTCATCCCATTTGTATCTTCCCTTTGAATAGTTTCTTTCCCTTTCACAGTATCTATTATACCCTTTGGATTTTATTGCCTAGCAGTACAATTTGTCATAGCTAAATCTTAATTTTTTCTTTAATCTTTTTATTTATTTGGTACAGGATCTCACTGTGCAGCTTGGACTCAGTGATCCTCCTGTCTCAGCCTTCCCAGCACTGAGAGTATAGGCATACACTACCACTCTGGCTTTTAGTGGCTGACAGGGCACGCCTATGGTTCCCAGGCCAGAATGGCATGTGGTATTGGGGATCAAGCCCTAGTCCTTAGGTTTGCCAGGCAGGGCCTTAGAACTCCGAGCTATTTTACCAGCCCAAATTAAGTATTTTGTTGTTGTTGCTAAAGGAATCGAACTCAGGACCTTGGCCCTTCCATGCAGGTGCTTGTGCCAGTATATCCCCAGCCTGTTGTAGCTAAATCTTGAAAATAGCCCAAATGCTCATCAGCTGAGGAAAGGATAAAAATAGATGTGGTATGGAGAATTACTCAGAGTTACCCTTTTGTTCACATATGACTAAGCAAAAATTAAAAATTTCTATAAACAACACCTATTGTGTTAGAGAACATATCAGTGAGAAATCTCGGGTGCTACCCTGGGAGTATAAATATGCTAACAGAAATTATATTAAGACTTATGTGTATTTTATGTAATCTTTTTAGTTTTTAAAGAGAAAGCAAATTAGAATTAAAACAAAAAAATTACAAGTGATACAGAATTTCACTTAAAGTAATATGAATTTCATAGGATTTGTTGTAATACATAGTGTTGTCCTCCAAACAGTTATTCATATTATGAGATATAGGCATGTAAAATCAGAAGAAGAAAAAACTGTATAAAAAACTAAGAAGATAAAAAGTACATACAAATAATTGAAAAATGGAGACAAAGCAAATTGTTATCTGCTCCTTTCCATAGCCCAGCAGAAATGCACAGGACAGTTGTCCAGACCATCCTGCGTACATACACAGATAAATCTCTTTCCCCCACTCCTTCTCCTGTCCTTCTCCTCAACTCAGTAACTCTTTCCTTGTGAATAAGTTCATTCCCTTATACCAGTGTCTTTTGTACCCTTCAGATTCCATTTTCTCTTTCAGGTTCTCACACTAGGGAATCAATCCAATGTTTGCACATGTGGGTCTGATTTATATCACTTAGGAGTATGTCCTCTAGTTGCATGCATTTACTGACAAAGGACTCAAATTTATCCCGTTTTATAATTTTAGTGGTTTTCTTAATACTTTTCCTAAAGAAATTTGACAATACCCAGTTAAGTTGAACTTTTGATATTGTGATAAATATGCACTAATCTTGATACCAGAATTAGTGGAAAGAATTAATCATGAGTCAAGGTACCATTGAGGGCCCAGGGAGATAACGCAGTAGAATAAGCGCTTGCCTGGCAAGTGCAGGGTCCTAAGTTCAATCCCCGGTAATGGAATAAATAAATAAATAAATAAATGTACCATTGAATGTTTTGATTTCTGTACATATGTATGCCTCAATATTTAAGTAATCTTTTATATTTGAAGCAGTTCTTACATATTTCATGAAGAATAATGTTGGCTTTTTTTCCTTGACTTTCTTCCTTGACTGATATGCCTTCTAGTTTGTTGTGCTTTAAAGGGAGTATACTGATGGTATAAATTTATTCCCAATACAGTAATAGGCTAGTGATTCTACAACTTTTATGTACTTCAGCTAAAAGCAGGAGAGCAATATTCAAACACATAAATGCTGATATTTATTTCATTTTCATCTGTGGACCTTCTAAATACGTGGTAGCTCTAAAAGCCACTAACATCACGTACTACTGATTATGACCTGTTTATATGAAGCAAGGACCCAAATGGGAGAGCACTTTGACTTTTTATTAATCACTGTGAAAAGGATTTTTTCATTTTTTTTAATAATTCAGTGATTTAAGTGTAGTCTCTATGGTGATTTTAAAGTAAATAACATGTTCTTTGAAGAACACCTGCTAGGAGGGGAGTGTAAAGATATTCTTATAAAAATAGATTAGCTGTTTTTCCTAATTATTGTTTTGTCAGTAGACACTGAATTTCTTCACTGTCTCACTTCTGTAGTAAAATCTTTATGATCTCTCAGGAATTTTTTTGTTCTAAATTTTTGTTATGATGTACAAGATATAATTTAAAAAATATGGCAAATGTTTAAAATAAAAATGCAAAAAATTATTACAGTAAAGGATGTTTGCCATTAAATGCCCTCAAAACACTCACCCTCACTTCAAACCTATCTATTCATTTTTTTGGAGGCAGTTCTGCACTCTTTCATTTTGCTGTTGTGACTGCCTTGATGTCCTGAATCTGTTCAAAACATTTACAGCACCTTCTGTCACGGTAGTGTGTCCTCACTGACCTTATTCACTGGATCTTGCCCCACGTGACTCCTGACTTTTCCCCAAAATCAAAATGACAGGAAGGTAAATGTTTTAAATCAATTCAGCAAACACTGAGGTAGCCAGTTCAGTGCAACTTACAACACTCACAAGAGAGGACTTTAGAAATGTCTTTGGAAAGTGACAAGAATGATGAGTTCATTGTGTCCAAGGGAGAGGGAACTTTTTGAGAGGAATATATGATAGTGTGCCTTTTTACTGTAATACATTTTGAAAAATTTAAGGTTTTGCTTTTGATTATGACACAGTCTTCTAGCATCTGTTTTATCTTCATTATGTTTTGTTAATATAAAGCCCACCCAATTAGAGCATTTCTAGGAGCCTGAGTTTTTATTACATCATATTAATATAATTGAGTAATTAGGTCATAGTTAATAATAAAATAAATGTTGGAGATAGCACCCCACAATTCACATAGCCAAAGAAGGGTGCTAAAGGACTTTCATCTTTTCTCATCTCTGTATCCTAGTATTTTCTTAATAAGATAGCTTTTCAGAAAGGACATTACCAATTTTCTTCTTTATTATGTAGTAATGACCACACATAGAACAGATAGAAAGATGAGCTGAATGTGGTCCTAATCTGTATTCCTGATGGACCAAAAATAATGTTAAAACAAGTATTTCAAATTAAGGTATTTAGCAATAGTGATTCTATTTTACTTGAACTAGGGGAATATTAAAAAATGAAATTGAGCAAGCTTTTAGTTATTTATCTTGTTCCTCAGGTATTATGGGTTAGTAACTATTGATGCAAACTTTCTTTTTCTTTTTTTTTTTCCATGTCTTCAGGCCTGATGGAGACTATTTATCTTCACTGAATGGTGGAAATATTAAAGGCATTGAAGGAAACTCATCTGGACACTTACCAAAATTCTGCCATGAGTGTGGGACAAAATACCCTGTAGATTGGGCAAAGTTCTGCTGTGAATGTGGCATTCGAAGAATGATTCTGTAAACAGAATCTTGAAAGGAAAAGAGCCAGGTTCAGGGTCTTATGGTTATTGTTTCTTGGATAGTTAGAGGATGCCCTGTAATTATTTTGTGCTAAAACTATTCAAAATACTGTTCACATAATTTTTTGAGCATAATTTTTCAGTTGAGTAATGTGTTTGTATATATATATATGTATATGTACTGTATATAATAAATACCTGATACCCCAGGCTGTGCCATTTTAAGAAATATTCACTTACCTGTCAGAATGATTTCAAGTGGAGTCATTAACTTAGGTTTTGTTGTTCTGTTGAAACACATTCAATGTGTCTTAGAAAATACTCTAGTGCTTAGCCCTTCAAGCTTTGGAGTAATTACAAGTTTGAACAAAAATTCCTATTAAACATTGCTGCTGTTGGTATGTAGGGTCAGAAAGTATCACAGCTGATGGGATGCTTGGCATTTGTAATCAAAGAGAGTGTTTTAGTTTTTGTTAGTTGATGTGAAGTCATTTTCTGTTGAATGTTTCAAATAGATATTGCTAAAAAATAAATAAATAAATAAGGTGGGAAAGCATAAGGTCACTGTTGCCCCTGATTCAGTAGCCTGTTAATGATTGAAGGAGCCTTACTTATTCTGTGAAAATGTAATTACTCATTCTTTTCAGAAAAACAAGACTAATCAGACAAATGTAAATTATTAGAACTTGACTTTTAAACTTATATGTGTATTAGTTGAACATACATTTTAACTCACTTATATTTCAAATTTTTGCTTTTTTTCTTTCTTTTCCATAACTTGTCTGAAGAGTAGTTTTACTATATCTTTGCAGCATTTTAAAATGTAATTATTTAATATAAGATATGCCAAAACCTTTTCTTTCCTACTGGGACTTTAAGCATTCTAGTGCTCTGCCAGTGAGCTACCTTCCCTGTCTCTTTTTATTCAGTTTTAAGACCAAGTCTTGCCAAGCTGCTCAGGCTGGTCTCCAACTTGCAGTCCCTCCTTCTCATCCTCCCAGGGAGCTGGAGTTATAAGTATGTGCTTTTTCACCTGGCAGGATACACAGAATTCTCTATAAAATCTTACATGCTTAAACATACTTTATTTCTGTGTAGCTGATTAATAAGAAATTATTGCATTTTGAAACAGACCACCTCACTTTAATAAATAACAATTGTGGTACTTATTACTATTGAGCATGCAGGTAAAATATATTTGAATTTAAGTTCTTTAGAATACGTTTAGATGTAGGTATGAGTAGGTTAAGAGAATATCTAACTTTTCCTACTTACGTTTTATTCTTTAGTGTTTAATGTTGAAACACCAGTTGTATCATAATAAAAACCACTGAAAATGTATTATATGAATATATAGCTTACTTACATAATTAAAAATTATGATTTCTTTTTAACTTGACCAAAATAGAGCTTTTGATCATTGTCACTGTCAGTTTAATAGAAGTAGCTTTCTTTGATGGGTTATACAACTATGTTCACTAACTCCTTAGTGATTATATTCAACTTAATATAATTGAGCTTTATCTTATTCTAGAGGAATAAGCAAATCTTTCTTATAACATTTTTTAGCTTTTTCTTTATAATTGTGATCAACTATAAGGATCAGTGTAGAAATTTGTGGCTTAGAATTTCATTTATCTGAAATTAAGTTTTGTGTTTTTATTTTTAGTTCAGAAAGGTCTTATAAAGTTAGTGCTAATAGGAATTGCCATTTTTACTTATAGTTTCTTTCCAGATTTTTTTTTTTTACTAGTTTTTCTTTTCCCCCAGCTAACGTATTATGGTATAAAGTCCATGAACCTAAGTTGTAATTAATTTAGAAAATTAATGTACCTGTTAGATTTTTATTTCAATCACTTCTATTCTTTAATTGTTATACACCTTATGACGGACTTAGAATTGTGTTTTTCTAAGAATGAACACTGTTTTCTTTCAAATATGTTTCTAAGACCACATACCTGCTTTTTTCTGCTCAAGAAATGGGTAGTTAAGTGAGCTTAAATAAATTGGCACATGCTTGTTTCTCACTGAATTTTTCGGTACTAAGTAAATGTTATACTCTATTACTTGGAAATGACTTAGTACGCAATCATCCAATTCCATAGCCCAGAGATTATTATAAGTAGTAAAGAGGTGAAATATGACTTATGAAACATGTAATATGAAATCAGTGGATTTTATATTACTTGCATATTTTAGTCTCACATTGATTTGTTGTGCAATAGTGTTTACACAATAATTCTATGCATCATTTATTTTATTTTTATTTATTTGCACAAGTATTTCCAGTATGGTAGAATGAAAACTTATTGTAAGCTTAAGTTAAAAATGTAAAAAATCACTTATATATTATCCTGAAAATTAGCGTGAAAGACATTATTGTGACTACTGTTTCCTGTATATTGTGCTTTTTATATATTCATTTTGAACCAATTCAATAAAGACATGAAGTACAAAAATGCTAGTTTTTATTTATTGATATCTTGTCTTTTAGACATGCAGAAAGGAACATCTTGAAAATAATAAATATTAAACTCAAACATATTTTTAGTATGAGAAAGTAGGTTTTCTTCTATATCTAAAATTCAATCAGTTTTTTTGTTTTTAAATGATATTTTATTGGATTGAAAGTTTTATGGTTTCAAAGCATTTTATTTTTTGTATGTGTTTTAGGGAAGGGTCTACAGGGTGTTCAGGGTCTCACTACTAGATTGAACTCATAGTGATCCATCTGTTTACAGCCTCCCAAGAGCTGGGATTACAGGCACACGCCACCACACCCAGTTTCAGTTGCCATCTCAGCATGCCCCGTGGGTGGGGCTGGCACTGCAGACCTGGGGATCAAACACAGGGCCTCTAAGCCTGCTTGCAGGCACTTTAATCCACTGAGCTATTTGACTGGCCCTCTGCAAAGTATTTTAAATGCTTTTGTTACACATATTTAATGAAAAGAAGCATTCACTCAGTAAAGTGCATGAATTTAAAATGTTAGGGTTGATAGGAAATGTGGGGGTTTCTAGTTAAGTACTGCAGTTTTATTTGTAGTGAATATTTAATGACTCAGGCCATATTTTACATTTTAGAAAGGAGTTGTTTCTAATAAAAAGGTGGATGTATCAGACATGTTTCATTGGTGCACCTTTCCTCTGCTGTAAGTGAATGATTCTACCAGGAGTAGAAGCCTGGGGAGTGAATACATAATACAAGAAATACGTAGATATAAACCTGCAGTTCTCTTGGAATATTTGCACTGGATACATAATGAATTTTATATGTAAGTGTATTTTTAGTACTGAGGTAGGTTTATTTTTTCTAACTACATAAGTGAATACAACTGTGTAGAATTATTAAAACAGTTATTGATAGCCACATTTATTTTTAGTTTCATTTAGAAAAGTTTCAATATTATTCACTGCCTTAGCTACTGTGAATTACTTTCTTGGCCACTAGAGGGGGCTTTAGGGTAATTTAACATTAGCCTTCAATTTTATTTTATTTTTTATATTTTATTGAGAGACAAATAGCAATGTGACAGTTTCAAAACAGGTCAGTAGGACAGTTACAATAATGGATACATTGCATATTGTCTTTATAGTAGTTATTCATAGTACAACATGCAGACATGATATCTTGTCTAAATGCTATTAGTACAAATCTTTCTCATTAAGAGACTAGCTATATAGCTAGGATGCTGCTTGTGTGGTGATGGGATGGGAGAGATGTTGTGATTATACCCAGGACCATCTTAACAGTGAGCTACATCCCCAGGCATTTGCTGTTTTAAAATAGTATCTCACTAAATTACCCAAGCTGAGTTCAAAATTGCCCTCAGCCTCTCAACGCTTGGTATTGTAGACCTAAGCTAACATGTCCAGCTATGATATGGGCATAACTTTTACAACATGAAACTTAATAAAATTATAAAATTGCTATGTTCTATCATGTTAGTAATTATATTAATATCTTAAAATTAGATGAATTTACTTTTGGGGACCAGGCTGATAGTAATATTAAAGCACTTAATATTTGTAAATTATTCATTAAATTAATTTTTGCTTATTTATTTATTTGCAGTACTGGGGGATTAAATTTAGGAACTTGTTCTTGCCAACCAGATGCTTATACTGCTGAGCTATCTCCCTTGCCTATTTTTTTAACCTTTTTTTTTTTTTTTTAGGGCAGGATTTACAGGGTCTCACTATGTAGATCGGACTCCTGGTGATCCTGTTTACAGCCTCCCAAGTTCTGGGATTATGGGCGCGTGCCACCATTCCCAGTCTCACTGGCCTCTCAGTGCACCTGGGGGCAGAGCCTGCACAGCCGGCCCAGGGATCAAACTCCTGGCCCCTGTGTCTGCCTAAGCAAGCACTTTAATCTGCTGAGGTATTTGGCCAGCCCTACCTATTTTTGTTTTTAATTCATATATATACATGAATATATTGTATTACAAAAAATAGCTTTTGTTAAGTGTTTTACCTCCATAAGAAAAATACTAATTGTCCCAGTAGGAGTTTTCCTTCCTAATGTACTGTTTCTTGTACACTGAGTACTGTTGACTCTATTATGTCATATTTATTTTAAAAAGTTTCATTATTATAACAAGTTCTTCTGTTATATCTGTACATATCTGTATATACATCTGTACATACATCTGATTACTATCATTTTATTTTTTGTTATTAAATTTATTGGTATAATTTAGATACACAAACTAATCACATTTATCATAGAGAGTTTGTACCTGTACATAATGATATGGTTTGATTCCTCTTTACTTCCTCTTTCCCTGCTTTTAACTTTAAACCCTTTTTTTTTTTAGTTTCAAAACTTTGTTTCCATTTTATCTTTTCTCATTTTTTCTTTTTCATTCTGTCCTTTCTCCATCCCCCCTTATCCTCCTTTTAAACAATTTTTCCTATTTCACAATATCTATTATCATTTTGATTCTGATTTATGCTTCCAGTTTCTCACATTTATGTCACTTAAGAATGTGGTCTCAAGGTCCATCCATTTAGCTATAAATGTCTCTAGCTTACCCTTCTTTGTGACTGACTAGTATATATTATATAAAAAGACCACATCTTCATTATATAAAAAGACCACATGTTTATTAATCCTTTCATTGATTGATAGGTATTTAGGTTGTTTCCAACATGTAACTGTTAAAAACTGCTGCAATAAACAGGTATTCATATATTGCTGTGGTGTGATGCATTTATTCTTCTGGAAAAATACCAAGATGGGCAATAGCTGGGTCAAATGGGTCCCCTAATCCTAGCTTTTGGAGGAATCTACGCACTGACTTCTGCAGTGGTTGCACCAATATGCATTCCCACTAAAACAATGGAGAAGTGTTTGCTTTTCCCACAGCCTTTCCAGCATTTAGTTTTGGTTGGTTTCTTGATAATAGCCATTTGATCTGGACTGAGATGGAGTCTCAGCACTGTTTAATAAGCATCTTTTAAATAACCAATGATTTAAACATTTTTTCACATATACTTGCTGTTTGTACTACTTCATCTGAGAAGTGGATATTCATCTCAGCTGCCCATTTTTGGATTGGATCTTTAAATCTGGAGTCTGTGATTCTTTTCACTTATTTATGTTTTAGATTAGTCCTTTATCAGAGGAACAAGTGACTAAAATATTTTGCACTGTATGTGTTGTCTTTTCACTCTTACAGATTTATTTTTCTAGGTAATTTTTTTTTTTAAAATAAGATGAGAGCTTAGCTGTTGATTCTTTGTAGTATTTCCTATGCAGTTAGAGTTT